CAATGCACGTGGCGCGTGCGGCCGTGGCACGGCTTGTGATAACACACGCAGTGAGAAGCCGCCATTAGACTATCAAGTCGCGCGCCATGTTGAACGCCGGCACGTAATACCTGTCTAGCTCTTGTAACTGCAACAAACTTTTCTTGCGAAGTGAATCGCTATATAATGATTTCTTATATTATAGCGAACACTAGAATTTTAAATAAAATTTGTTTTCACGGATTTTATTACGTATATAACTAGGTGTACTAAGATTTTGCTCGTTACGTTAGTTATGATGAGACCTTGCCTCCGGATTTGGTAGAGTGACCTTAAGATGTACTTCGGTATTACTGGAACTCCTCGAAGAGTGGAACTAGGTATGCCGAGTTTGGCCTCGTTTAATAATAACATAAGTTTTGATAAGACCTTACCTTTGGGCTTGATACTTACCTTGAAGGTGTATTTTTGTGACAACACTGGTTGTGACTAAATGAAAAAGTTTAGATAACGAAATAAAGTAGATGAGAAAAAAATGTTAACGAATAATAACAGTAAAATTTAAAAAAAAATATTTTCTAATGTTGACTGTGAATTTTTCTTACATTTTTTCACGATCATATGAGCATTATGAGTTGTACGTTTTTGAATTTTTCAAACGTTTTTCTATTGAAGTTTGACAAAAAAATTATCGGAAAATAAGAAGTAATAGAATAAGGTATCTAAAATACTTTAAAAGTTGACCTATAACATGAGCGTTTAAGGCATACATTTGGATTTACTAAAAGTATTTATGTGCACCATCACCTATATATATATATATATATATATATATATATATATATATATATATATATATATATATATATATATATATATATATATATATATATATATATATATATATATATATATATATATCTCCACAAAGCACGGTCCTGAGCCACCTGCATCCATCGATTTCCTGCATGTCTTACCAGGTCGTCACTCCATCTAGTGGGCTTTCTAGGCTTCTGCTAGGCTTTCTCATAGTCCACATACGCCAGGCAAAGTGGCAGATTGTACTCCTCGGTCTTCTGTACAATATGCCGCAGGGCATGTATGTGGTCTATGGTACTGAAGCCTTTTCGGAAACGGGCTTATTCGGGAGGCTGGAAGTCGTCGAGTCTGCGTGCGAGACGATTCGTAATGACTTTCGAAAACAGCACGTAGACGCGGCTCAGAAGGGAAATCGGTCTGTATTTCTTCAGAAGAGCGTTGACACCTTTCTTGAAGAACAAGACCACCGCACTTCTGTTCCACGCCGTGTGAGTAGTGCCACCATGGAGGACGGAATTGAAGAGCTTCTGAAGGACTTCAAGTACCGGTGTTCCACCCGCTTTCAGAAGCTCCGCTGTAATTCCATCCTCGCCTGGATTCCTGCCGTTCTTAAGGTGCTGGAGAGCCATTCTAATTTCGCTCGGACTGACGTCCGGGATATCATCGGAATAGTGTCGGGTAAGACTTGCTCTTGGATCGTTACTCACACTTGCGTGTGGCTCCAACGATGATGTGTACAGCTGCCCATAGAACCTCTCAATCTCACTCAAAATCTCAGGTGTCCCGTAAACGATGCTGCCACACTCAGTCTTCAGCTTTGACAGATGGCTCTTCTGGCAGACAGATCTCTGCCAAAGACTTTGGAACCCTGGTTCCGCTCGATCGCTTCTTTAATACGAGCAGTATTAAAGTTGCGTAAGTCTTGTCGCATGCATTTGGAGATCTGTCTGTTCAGTTGCCTGTATGCTGTCAAATCTGTTGACGATTGCAGCCTCATCTCCCGTCTAAGAGCCATGCGGCAGGTCTTGCAGAACTTAGCTCCGATCGCATGGACAGTTTCCACGAGCTTGTCATTCATATCGTCCACTGCATTGCAATCTTCTAGGCACTGAAAGCGGTTACGTAACTCGAGCTGAAAAGTCTCGGGATTCTGTAGTAGAGCACGAGGGGGACGGAGCGTTGACTTCATTAGACGGGACCTCTCCAACTTAACGTTTAGGTTCAGTGTGCCTCTAACCATTCGGTGATCGCTGCCGGTTTTCACTCTTGCGATCACTGAGACATCACTGAACAGTTGGCGTCTGGTCGTCGTAATGAAGTCAATCTCATTTTTTGACGAACCGTCGGGGCTCGACCAGATCCACTTCCTGTGGGACCGCTTCTGGAAGAAAGAGTTCATCATAAAGAGTCCCTCTTTCTCCATAAAGTCAGTCAGCTGCTGGCCCCTACGGTTGCGTTGCCCTACTCCAAATTTCCCTAACTTCAGCTCACCGCCTTCTCTTGTGCCTAGTTTTGCGTTGAAGTCTCCCATCAACACCGTGTAGTGGGATTTGGAGGAATGCATGGCTCTAGAAATATCCACATACATTTCCTCCACCTCCTCATCGGGATGTGCCGAGGTTGGTGCGTAGACCTGTATGACCTTCAGCGAATACCGTTTGGTAATTCTAAGTATCATGTACGCGACCCTCGACGACACACTCCCAATCTTGTACAACGTTGTTGACAAGAGACTTGTGGACGATAAATCCGACACCTCCTTGGAACAGATGGTCGCCCTCCCGGTGATAGAACAAGTTGCCGGACTCGAGGATTACCGTGTCCTCCCTCTCTCTTCGAACCTCAGATAATCCAATAATATGCCAGCGCAACTTGTCTACCTCTTCTTCCAGCTCCAGTATCTTCTCGTCAGTCCTCAGGGTGCGTACGTTATACGTTGCCAGGTCAAGTCGTCGTAAGTGGCAACCGAACCTCCACCGGAGATTCTTAGCACCCCCTGCCCCGCCGTTACCATGGTCGCCTCCGTAGCCAGGAATAGCGGGGCCGCCGGGGACTGGGGGCCGTTTATTTGTATCGTTGCTCATGGGGGGATATTTGCCATAGTTGCCACGCTTGGCGAGCGGGTTGGCAACCGCAGTTTTTATTATGTTATTGTTATTATTAGGAAGATGCTGCTGCCCATCTCCTTTCTGTGTCCATCTGTCGCCTTTTACGACACTCACGGGAAGATATGGGGTAGTGGATATTCTCAACCGTCACTACACGGCTCATTACTTTTGTGTTTTTTAACTTGATAGTAGCACATCGGAAGTGTCACCTTGTGGCCTCTTAGCCTTTTCATTGTTTTCTGAAAATATTTAACAAAATTGCAAAATCATACTAAATAAAATTAAAACTTTACTTGTAAAGGCATCTGTTTCATAGTTAGTTTTAATTTTATTCATTATGTTTTTGTAATGCAAACTGTAATACTCACTGTCGTAGTTTCTTGTTTGCGGTACTTTGTTGTATGGTATTGTCGCTGAACTTTGTTTGTTTCTCATATTCATAAGAGAACTGGTGTTTGCAAGATATTTTTTTATTTATTATTATTAAACGGGTACTTTAAATTAACATTAAACTACTACTAACTATTAACTACTTTAATGTGGATTTAAAATTAAGTAAGAGATTTGAAACAAAGTTCTTTTAGTTTCTCAGTTCAGGTTCTCAATACTCGGCAGGTAAATAGACAACTATAGTTTGTTATTATTTTGAGTTGCTATCAGGAAATTGATTCTCATTCCCTGTTTCTGAGTCCGTTTGTCGCCTTGCCCGTTTTACGATACCCGTGGGATAATAAGGGTTAGTAGATTTTCTTACGCCGCCACCACACGACGAATAATTTATTACTCAAATGAGTAGGATACTTGGTAGGGCCATGCTGCAGCTATAATATGGTTGAAGTACGAATTAATCAGCACAACGGGGAAAAAACCGCACTCTCACAGAATATTAGCGTAGGATAGCAGCTTAACACCGCTGTATTTTGTAATAGCTCTACACGATGGGCCAGCGTTGGCCCAGCGCGATGACCATGCGATGGCTGCAACGCAACTACACGTTGGCGACATTCAGTTGTGATCGAAACGTTTATCGAGATGGACGTGGAAGCATTAGCCGCTACGGCAATTTATCTATACAACACGTACCGTTATTTTCTTAATGTGCACAAGAATAGAGTTATTAAAAAGAAATGGCGTAGAAGAAGATGGTGGATGTTATCTATACATCGCAATAGAACTAAGTATGTCCTAAATCAATTAAGTTTTCTTTAAACAAAAATAATTAAATAATTATAATTAACAATTTAATAAATAATTATTAAAAATAAAAAATTAATTTTGTATATGTTCTGATTTTTAGTAGTTAGTAGTTCTATGATTAAAACTAAAACTTTTTTTCAGGCAAACTATGGATAATCAGCTGGCTGAACTTCTTGCTGAACCATCAAGTGAATTCGATAACTTCGTGCGTATGTCAAACAGTGATTTTAAGATTTTAATACAGAAAATATCGCCAATAATAGCTAAACAAGACACCGATTGGCGGGAATCAGTTCCTACGAAAATTCGTCTCGCAATAACCCTAAGATACTTAGCTACATGCGACAACTATAGAAGTTTGCACTACCTATTTAAAGTTTCAAGCTAACTTATATCAAAAATTGTTCCTAAAGTATATCTTGCACTCAACGAAACTTTAAAAGAATTTGTGAAGGTAATAAAATAATACTATTTCTTTTAGTTTAATCATATTTAATGTAGAAAATTAAGTACTTATTTATTTCTTTCTTGTGAGTCATCAATATTTGAATTAATGTAAGCTTGCTGCTCTGGTATACTTAATAGGACAAGAAACTCTTCTTCAGGCGTGACACTACCGTTGAGGGAGAAATAAAGTGGCGAATACACAGTAAGGTTAGATGGAGGACGGTCAGTATCATTGGCAGTTGTGGACGTAGAATTCGTGCTTAAAGAAGACGTAGGACGGGGAATATATGTTTGAGAGGCAGGGGAAGTAGAGGTGCGGGTGCAGCCACTGACTGGGCGTTTGGTGGATAATATTATTTGGGATGGAGACTGAACGACATAGTGACAGGCCCTTTGTTTACTTAATGACGTTTGACATTTTTTCAAAAGTATGTCATCTATTTCTTATATTTATTCTTGTTTTTCTATATCTGTAAACTGTCTCAATTTTTTTGCAAGTAGTTTACCATATAAATCACAATTGTCTTCTGAATCTTTTGTCTGTTGTTTATAAAGTTCACTATTCAAAGTTGAAAAAGCTTTCTTCATTTCTTTATTAGTTTCCTCTAATTCTGGTGGGTTTCTACAACGACGGCGTTGAATAGGAATTTTTATGTTGGAATTTTCTATCTCCGTATTTGGATCAGAATTTTTGCATATACTTTGGGTCATGGAGTCTTCATCTGGTGACGATGCCATAGCCTAAAAACATTTTATTATTATTATTTATTAAATAGGTACTTTTGAGTTTTTTTTTACCATCAGCCAACAAAAAAAATCCGGTGTGTTATGTTAATTTTATTTACAGATCCAACACAACACACACAATATAACACAATAACAGGAGAATGGCTATCCAAATCTAGAAGATTCAAGTTCCCTCATTGTCTCGGTGCTATAGATGGCAAGCATGTGACAATACTACCCCCTCATAGCGGAACTGAATATTATAATTACATAATGAATTAATAAATTACTGAATATTATAAACATACTTTTAGCATTGTCCTTCTAGCTCTAGTAGATCATGATTACTGTTTCATGTTTGCTGAAATGGTTGCTCAAGGGTGTATAAGTGACGGCGGCGTTTTTAATAATAGTAGTTTATCTAAAAAAAAATATCTGAAAACAGTATCAATTTGCCGCATCCTAGTTTGTTACCAGGATGTGAGTTTTATTTTCCCTATGTATTTCTGGGTGACAGAGCATTTAGTTTAAGTAAACATCTCATGAAACCGTTTCTTGGCCGTTATGCGTTAAATTCTGATGAAAAGGTTTTTAATCAAAAACTCTCTCAGTCACGTGTTGTAGTTGAAAATACTTTCGGAATTCTAGCTAACAAATTTAGGGTCTTCAAGACGGCCATGCCATTCCACCCAGTTAAACGTTCAATAATTACTATGACATGTGTTCTATTATACACACCTCTAGGTACATTTGATACCTATAATGATAATGGAGATTTGATAAGCTCTGGTACTTGGAGAAATGATAGTATCAACGGTTTCCTTTCCTTACAAAATCAACCACGTAGAACAAATAATGATGCTATTCAAATAAGACAAAATTTCATTAACTGTTTGTATAATAGAGAATAAAAATACTATCTAAATAAAAATTAATTTTGTTTTATTTACTTACTCCTTCTTCGGTGTCTATAACACTCTTGAATTGGTATACATCTTTTAAAAAACTTTCCATGACATCAAAAAATGGCCATGACGGTGACGGATTTCGTCAAGTTCAGTCCCAGATCTCGTGGAATCTTTTTTTCTTTTTTTAAAGAGTACGGAAAGACGTCATCAACGATTCATTTTTTTAAAATCTTTTATTGGAATTCCCATAGCATCACCTATGCGATTCATGGCATCCGAAACCTGAAAACAATTAAAATTTTCAATTAGTTTAATAGATAGAAAAGAACCAACCTACATATACAACCATACTACATGAACACTTCCTAGTACTTACCTAAAATAACTATTTTTTTTTAAAGAATAAGAGTGACAAACGAGCGTACAGTCCACCTGATGGTAAGCGGATGCTGTAGCCCATATATATCCACATTTATCCTCAATTAAGAACCAAAACGCAGATGCGTTGTCACTCCTGAGGACTGAGATGAATGCCTTGTTTCCAGTAAAAAGGGTCTCCAGATCTCTACAGCTCTACACTCATCATACGAAACACAGCAGTATTAAGCTGCTATTCTGTGAGAGCGTGGTACTTCCCCGGTCGAACCGACCCATTTGTGGTACAACCGTAATATAGCTGCAGCGTGGCTTTACCAAGTATAAATAGTCTTTAAAATTGTACTTATCATCTGTATTGGGTTTATAATTACTTAAAATGGCGATTTTATTCATAACCCTATTAAATATATATAAATCCTAAATTTAAAACCTATTATATATATATTACGCTTTCTCCCCCGATATAATTCTAAAAATTTTATAACTTCGTTATGAGGCCACGTATTTGTCATTTTAATTAATTTTCGTTAATTTATAAACAAAGCGTGAACGTCCACACTCAACAGTCGAACACGCACAACTGTGGAATGGGCCACGTGTAGATGCGTACCGCCATCGTTGGCCCACTTACTACCCTTTGATGTCCGGCGGAAAAACCGACACCGTCGCCAATCCCGAGACCATCGCATGCGCCGTAAGCCATCCGACACAAATACGCATTCCACACGCTGGCCCATCACGTTTGCCCAACGTGTAGAGGGGCTATAATGTGGGTATGGAGAACCGGCGGCCTTTTTTACTAGAAATGAGGCATTCCATCTTAGTCCTCAGGAAGGACAACCTTAACTGTATTTTGATTCTTAATTGGAAATAGATATAGCTGTTTATTTCCACAGTAGTTACTTACCAAATGGACTGTCTGTTCATGTCATTCAAAGAAAATATAAGTTGTAAAATACTACAATGGCTACCTACCTCTGGTCTTATTCAATTATTTAAAATAGCACACTGCGGCAGAAACGGTCGCTGTCACCGCGAACAAGCCACCAACAGTACGAAATGTAACGTAGTCAAGCATTCACGGGGACTTGCGCTGTTGAATATTTTTAGAAATATAGTATTCTTATGAGATTTTTGGTAAATAAGTATTTTATAGATATTTTTAGCCTAGAACCCATGGCAATTCCAAAGCAAATATCAGACTGCTACGGATGTAGAGCCTAAAACTTTTAATAGACATTGGTTGGGCGACGGGCCTTAGGGTTCCGTTCAGTTTCCGCGTAACCAGACATGGTCTATAAATTTTCATAAAGGCTGTATAAACGTTGTGGTAATTTGTTTTCCGTTTCTTAACAATGACATCTGAATTAGATTTAGAGGTATCTTGGCCAGAAGAGATGGAGAATAATACTTTAATAGAGAGTGATGGCTTTAGAGAAATCTGAATCACCTTAATTACAATTACAGATTTTGGAAAATCACTTACTAGCAATAGTTAGTTAGTGCTTGGCTGTTTCAAATTTGCATTAAATATGGCGGTATATCTGACACAATTTGGCAGCGGCACGCCAGTTTAATATAGCGTCAATTAAGGACGTCATTTGCATTATACTAAGTTATATTTCGCAATACAGACTACGACAGATGGTACGTCAATACGACCAGATAGACTTCGTTACTGAGAATTTCGTGACCAAAAAAACTCAATAACTGATCTTGGTTCGATCCGGGATCCAAACTCGGGACCTAATGATGAAAAATAGCGTTTATTTATTTATTGCAATTTACAACGAGGAAGACAGTCTCTTCGTGTATTAATAAACAGAATCCCCTCATATTTCCTATATATCTTATCTATCTTATAATTTTATTCAGTCATGTTTTTAAAGTTTATTTTATCTCCATTTGCGTTGGCCATAAATCAGGACTTAGCCTGAAGAAACCTGATCCTCGAAGCAACGATGATTCTCGTCGAAGGTGGAAAGAATACTTCTAGTGACGTCGTCTGTCACATTATACAAGGTTAGAACCCGTCGCCATTTACACGGCCTCCCGTGATCTTCGATCTCAGCCAGTCGATGAGCAACAAATGGTTTGAAAGTTCGAGAATCTGACCCGATGCAGGCACGAAAAACCGACAACCGATGGGGAAAAAAGTTTCTCGAGAGGCAGCCTCGTAACGGTAGGCGTAGTGTATGTTGACCCCCCACTAGATGGAGTTACGAAATGGTAAGACATTCAGGAATTCGATGTAAGCGGGTGGCTCAGGACCGTGCTTTGTGGCATTCTTTGGGAGAGGCCTATTATGTTCAGCAGTTGTCATAGTAACGCTTTCCATACGTGTTGGCATTTTCTTAGTTGTTGAAAGACGCTGCTGCTCATATTACGGTTTGTTTTTCTCTGTCGCCTCTTACCCATGGGACGATACAAGGTAGTAGATATCCTTACACCGCCACTACACGTTTAGAAGATATAACAAAAAATTAAAAGCTATTATAAATGTTTACCTGAGCCAAGCCAAAGCTCCTGCCAGCCCCTTACGCTCGTCAATGGTACGCCATACGACCAGGTACAACGAGCGACGCGACAGGAAATACTGGTGTGTTGCATAATACCTACATAACTACGTTTTTTTTATAAATAAGGCTGACGTACGAGCACAAAGTTAACCATACATTAAGTGGATGCTGTAGCCCGTAGACATTTACATTTATCCTCGATTAGGAATCAAAACGCATATGCATTTTCACCCTTGAGGACTAATATAGAATGCCTCGTTTCCAGTAAAAAAGGGGTCAAGCGGACCCATTCTTGCTACATCTATATATATATATATATATATATATATATATATATATATATATATATATATATATATATAACACACTAAACACTTCATTACGGGTAAATAATTATAATTAAAAATGGTGACCAGGCAATTAGGCAATTATGACACAATTTTAAAATATTGACACGGTCAATCCTTTTATCTACTGTCAATTTATGAAATTGATCGCACCTATAAATAATGTGACTTTGATTGCAATGCGCGCAAATTAATCTTTTATTTTTATTGTAATTCATCACATTAGTATTTAAAACTGTCTTTGAATAATTTTTACTGTTGTTAAAATTGTTGCTTTTGTAATTGTTACCTATTGGCTTATTTCTTGATGGTAATGACATCGTACTATAATATAAGATGAATGTTCGAGTACTTTAACTTGTTTATTTACAAAACTAATCAATTCCAAAAACGATGGAACTGAATTTTGATCCCTATTTTCTTCAAAAAGCCTCCTAGAATGCGCATTAAACCCACTTAGAGCTAAATGGCAAAATAAATAGTCAGTAATAAGATTGGAGATAGTGTCCTTATTTAATGGCGTAAAGGTAAAGTTTATCATTTTGTCAATGTACCTACCTACTAGTATTCGATAGTCCTAATATTTATTGCATAAACTTTGCCATACGAGAGTTTAATTAGCGGCTGCTATAGGTAGTTTTTAACAATGTTTTATACCGATCCTTTAACATATGAAAGTAAATAGTGAAACTTTTCTATTTCATCAAAGTCTCCATTATGGACAAGTGATACAAATGTGTCTTAGAATGTGGTCCACTTCTCAATATCGCCATCGAATTCAAATAAACGTAATTTAGGAAATGTCGGCCTCACATCAATTCTATCTTTCCCACCGAGAGGTGCTTGCTCGCCCGGTTTTA